CTGTATCCCTCTCAGCCCAGGTCTGTCTGCTGGGATGTTGTATCCCTCTCAGCCCGGGTCTGTCTGCTGGGATACTGTATCCCTCTCAGCCCTGTGGAACAGGATCAAAAGCCCGCCTCCCAAATTGCGTTGATGGTCTGTGTGGGTGGTTGGAGGGTGTCACTGGTAGGTCTGTGTGGGTGGTTGGAGAGTGTCACTGGTTGGTCTGTGTGGGTGGTTGGAGGATGTCACTGGTAGATGTGTGTGGGTGGTTGGAGGATGTCACTGGTAGGTCTGTGTGGGTGGTTGGAGGGTGTCACTGGTAGGTCCAAGATCTACTTCTTTACTTTCCCTCAATATTTACCGTGACTGTATCGATGTCAGTCTCTTTACTGACACTATATGACCGTTATTGTGTCGATGTGTGTCTCTTTACTGACACTATATGACCGTTATTGTGTCGATGTGTGTCTCTTTACTGACACTATATCACCGTGATTGTGTCAATGTGTGTCTCTTTACTCCAACTCAAAAACTCAAGCTGGTGTTTGTGTCAACATTTCGCAGGAAAAGGGAAGGGAACTCCGTCCTTGAAGAAGGGCGTGCACTGTGTGAGGGTGGACTGTGACGAGGAATCGGACGCCAGCGATTGGCCGGGATTTTGAACCACTCGGCAGACATTGAAATAGAACCATGTGGACTCGTTTGTGTGTGTGAATGGATTCTTGATCTTGGATGTGCTCAAAGTGTATGTCTTCCTCGAGAAGTGAGGCGCTCGGCGGAATGACGAAGTCGGAGAAACGGACATTTCACCATCCTTGGATAATTCTTATAATTGAATTGTTTTTGTGGGTAGTCGGCGGGTGCTCTGGCGTGGTTTGCTTCTTCTTTCCCATCAAACATCTATCGTCTTTATCTCCCCTTCTTTTTTGTATTTGTTACTCCCTTGTAACACCTCTAATCTTCCGCACTTATATGACTTTATAATGTTGCAAGTGCCGTAAAACTCTTACTAAAACTAAAACGAATTCTTTTTTAAGAAGATACGGCACCTTTTATGTCTACTTAAAAAACACATTTCTGTATAGATTTTACTGAAACAAAGACAATAAAAATGTAAATTTGCAGTTTCCAAGGACACTTAAGGTATGGAAATCACTAAACCGTGGCGGCCATTTTCTCACTAATGTTACCTGGTTCACCGGGCGACGCCCACCTCTTTCAGTCACAAATAGCTCAACTTTTCCTCAAGATAGATAGAGGGATTTTATTTTCCTTTGAAACCAAGGCAAATGAAGGGGATATAAGATGATCCTATAACTCCATGTGCCTGAAGAATTGACGAGCGACTGATTCCTCCGCATTGTGTGTAGGCTACATGTGTGTCAGAAGTGTGTAGGCTACATGTGTGTCAGAAGTGTGTAGGCTACATGTGTGTCAGAAGTGTGTAGGCTACATGTGTGTAGGCTACATGTGTCAGAAGTGTGTAGACTACATGTGTGTCAGAAGTGTGTAGGCTACATGTGTGTCAGAAGTGCGTAGGCTACATGTGTGTCGGAAGTGTGTAGGCTACATGTGTGTCGGAAGTGTGTAGGCTACGTGTGTGTCAGAAGTGTGTAGGCTACGTGTGTGTCAGAAGTGTGTAGGCTACGTGTGTGTCAGAAGTGTGTAGGCTACGTGTGTGTCAGAAGTGTGTAGGCTACGTGTGTGTCAGAAGTGTGTAGGCTACATGTGTCTGTGGCTATGAGGACTAGGTGTGTGGCGTGCTGTAATGCTGAGTGCTGTCCACTGTAAAGAGTTTGTGTGTCTGAATGATGGGTTTATTCCTAGCTGTATATATATATATATTTCCTTTTGGCCCCCAGATTCCTCAGCGCTTAGAATAAGAATATCATGTTAGGTAGTGATCTTTGTACCATGATGTGAACTAGAATATATATATAGGTCTATGTTATAGGAGGGCCGATATAAATATTAAGTATTTTTAATTTAATTATATTATTCTATAATGAAGAAGAGGGTTGTTGTTCTGGGTGCATGTACTGGTGACAGAGTGGGGTCCACGTACACTCAAGTCTGTGGCACCCACCTGTGTTCTTGGTTCACCTGTGTTCTCGGTGCATGTACTGGTGACAGAGTGGGGTCCACGTACACTCAAGTCTGTGGCACCCACCTGTGTTCTTGGTTCACCTGTGTTCTTGGTTCACCTGTGTTCTTGGTTCACCTGTGTTCTTGGTTCACCTGTGGTCTTGGTTCACCTGTGTTCTTGGTTCACCTGTGTTCTTGGTTCACCTGTGTTCTTGGTTCACCTGTGTTCTTTGCTTCTCTGAGATTGCTCAAGTACTGACGGAACACCATGAGGGATTCCATTATCTTTCAGTTTACCACCGATGTCGTGGTAACCGTCTCGGCTCTGACTCCACTGTGCTATAGATAGATGTGGTAACCGTGTCGGCTCTGACTCCACTGTGCTATAGATAGATGTCGTGGTAACCGTGTCGGCTCTGACTCCACTGTGCTATAGATGTAGTCGTAACCATGTCGGCTCTGACTCCACTGTGCTATAGATAGATGTCGTGGTAACCGTGTCGGCTCTGACTCCACTGTGCTATAGATGTAGTCGTAACCGTGTCGGCTCTGACTCCACTGTGCTATAGATGTAGTCGTAACCATGTCGGCTCTGACTCCACTGTGCTATAGATAGATGTCGTGGTAACCGTGTCGGCTCTGACTCCACTGTGCTATAGATGTAGTCGTAACCATGTCGGCTCTGACTCCACTGTGCTATAGATAGATGTTGTGGTAACCGTGTCGGCTCTGACTCCACTGTGCTATAGATAGATGTCGTGGTAACCGTGTCGGCTCTGACTCCACTGTGCTATAGATGTAGTCGTAACCGTGTCGGCTCTGACTCCACTGTGCTATAGATGTAGTCGTAACCGTGTCGGCTCTGACTCCACTGTGCTATAGATGTAGTCGTAACCATGTCGGCTCTGACTCCACTGTGCTATAGATAGATGTTGTGGTAACCGTGTCGGCTCTGACTCCACTGTGCTATAGATAGATGTCGTGGTAACCGTGTCGGCTCTGACTCCACTGTGCTATAGATGTAGTCGTAACTGTGTCGGCTCTGACTCCACTGTGCTATAGATGTAGTCGTAACCGTGTCAGCTCTGACTCCACTGTGCTATAGATGTAGTCGTAACCATGTCGGCTCTGACTCCACTGTGCTATAGATAGATGTTGTGGTAACCGTGTCGGCTCTGACTCCACTGTGCTATAGATAGATGTTGTGGTAACCGTGTCGGCTCTGACTCCACTGTGCTATAGATGTAGTCGTAACCGTGTCGGCTCTGACTCCACTGTGCTGTAGATGTAGTCGTAACCGTGTCGGCTCTGACTCCACTGTGCTATAGATGTAGTCGTAACCATGTCGGCTCTGACTCCACTGTGCTATAGATAGATGTTGTGGTAACCGTGTCGGCTCTGACTCCACTGTGCTATAGATAGATGTTGTGGTAACCGTGTCGGCTCTGACTCCACTGTGCTATAGATGTAGTCGTAACCGTGTCGGCTCTGACTCCACTGTGCTAGCGGGTGGTTGAAGGGTGCTCTGGTGTGGTTTGCTCCTTTCTGTCCTATCAACCATCTGTCGTCCTTATCTCCCCTCCTTCTTATTTGTGTTTATTACTCTCTTGTAACACCTCTAATCTTCGGCACTTGTATGACCTTATTGTGTTGCAAGTGCCGTAAAACGTTTACCAGAACTAAAACCACTGTGCTATAGGCTAGATAGTGAGTTTCTTTTCTGTGGTTGTGATGTGATATTACAACTAGTGTGACTTTGTTTCTAGAGAGGGGACCATCACATTGATGTTTGTGAGGGATCGTGGTGAAATCGTGCGCTTGTCAAAAAAAATGAAGTAACAAAAATCGGCACTTTTAGCCAATGGGCAAGTTTTTTCAAATGTTCTTTGTTTGGCTCATACCTTTTATGTCACTTTAAAAAAACACATTTTTTGTTTTGATTTTACTGAAAAAACTGTTAAAGGCACAAAAAATGTAAATGTTCAGTTTCCACGGAATCTCACTCTCAGGCTATGGAAGTTACCAAACTTTGGCGGCCATTATGATTTCCTCGCTTATTCTACCTCTGAAACCTGGCGACCCAGACCTCCTTCGATCGCAAATATTTCAACTTTTATTCAACATAGATGGATATTTTTTTTTTACCAAAAGGAAGGCTAATGAACAGGCTTTAAGATGTTACAAATAACCTTATATGCCCAAAAATTGACAAGCGCCTGATTCCACCACGTCACAACTCATTTTCTTTTACATTAGTTGCAAATGTATACTGTGTCCGAGATCCGTGTCAGGTCCATTTGTGTTGACATCTCAGTTGTGTCCAGAAGGGTACGTGTGTCAGAATGAGAGAATGTCTTCATTAAATAAACATGTTGGTTTTGTCTGATCTCATGCTTTCAGCGTTTGTGAGGGGTAGATGTAGATGTAGATTGGTACAGTCAGGGGTAGATGTAGATGTAGATTGGTACAGTCAGGGGTAGATGTAGATGTAGATTGGTACAGTCAGGGGTAGATGTACATTGGTACAGTCAGGGGTAGATGTACATTGGTACAGTCAGGGGTAGATGTACATTGGTACAGTCAGGGGTAGATGTACATTGGTACAGTCAGGGGTAGATGTACATTGGTACAGTAGGTATCACAAACTAAAATTTCATCTTGATGTGAGCATAGAACCAGGCGTGCATTTTGAAAGCCAATTAAAAAAACAAGCAAAATATTTTTTAAAATGAAGAAAATCTGTCAAGAAATAAATGTTTTATGAATTTTTCTTTATTTTTAGACTTTAAAAAATCCGTTCATGCTTCTCAAAGTGAAAATGAGCCATTTTTATTGCTGCATAGAAAAAAGAAACAGCGTCATGTCCTCAGTTACATTTCAAAAGTCCATAGAAAAGATACACAGGAAGCAATAGCCAAGAGGAATCTGGTCTAAATTTGCTTTGTAAATTGCTACATTGTCAAAGGCAATACAATTCTTATTATATCGAAGGTCATATTTACATCAGAATAGACCAAAAGTCATTTTATGACAGCATATAGTATAAAAAGTATAAGACCCATCACTCTGAAAGTTCTTTCTCTCCAAACACACCAAAACAGAGATTACCCCCAATTTTTTTAAAGCATCTTACGCACATATTTACTAGTGGGCCAGTTATTGCAAAAATCGGCCGAATCATTCACATCGTCATACAAGCACCAAAATTGGCACACATATCCATTATGACATGTGTATTCATAAATCGAACGTTTACCACGCAATTTTTTCAAAATGGCCGCCATTTTTCAAAATGGCCGCCATTGCCCGTATGCACAACCCTATGATACTATAATGTCGCACAGCATGAGGCAGTAGAGCAAATTATATGATTTTGGTGTCAAAATATGTGTAATCAACCATGAAGAATCCAAATTTGCATATATATGCTTACAAGTCAATGCATTCAAAGCTTGTACAATGTATATCCACTATGCTGCCTCTGCTGAGACACCAAGCCCGCGCTGCAGCTACAGTAAGACATGTCGTGGACAAAATTAGGGATGCAGTGAGGTTTCTTAACCACGGACAAGTGCCTGTGATCACAACAGAGCAGCCGATATATGCCATAGCCGAACAGATCACGTGGCAGTGGCCTAAAGATTATAATAATAATAGATAGCATTTGTATAGCGCATATCCCCGCTCAACAGCAGGCTCTATGCGCTTTACACTATATTATTACCCCAGCAGACCATAGAACACTCCGAAACATTCTCAGCTTCCCG